GTGGGGGGAGCCCCTTCCCCCGGGGGGCTGAGCGAGACGCTGGGGAAGTTCACCAACGTTGGCCGGTTTGTCACGCTCACCACCCGCAGCCTGCACCGCCTGCCACCCCACGTCCAGCAGAAGTTTGTCCGCCTCAAAGGCCGGGACAAGCTACCCGAGCTGCTGCAGCTACTCAAGGAGCGCCCGGCGTCGCAAGGGGCCATCCTCATCTTCTGCAACAGTGCCAGCACTGTCAACTGGCTGGGCTATATCCTAGATGACCACAAAATCAAGCACCTGAGGTTGCAGGGACAGATGTCGGCAGTTGCGAGAGCTGGCATCTTTGCCTCCTTCCAGAAGGGCGACGTGTCTGTCCTGGTCTGCACTGACCTTGCCTCGCGGGGGCTGGACACCAGCGGTGTGCAGCTGGTGGTCAACTATGACTTCCCAGACACCCTGCCGGACTACCTGCACCGCGTGGGGCGAGTCGGACGGGTCGGAAGCAAGGCGCCCGGAGCCGTGGTTAGTTTTGTTACCCACCGGTGGGATGTGGACCTGGTGCGTAAAATAGAGACGGCGGCCCGGAAAAGGACAGGTCTGCCAGGCATGGACTCCTCCATTAATAACCATCCATCTAAAGGAGGTTGAATCGGGTTGCCGAGCGGTAATAAATGGCATGGTAGGGACTAAGCTTGAAGTTGTTACAGCAGAGCGAGTGGCCTTCTGTAAGCTAGACTGAAAGACCAGAGAATTGTGTTTCAGAGCCAGGTGATGCGGTTGACTGTGTGCGTTGTTCTGGAAACTGCAATAGTCATTTCCGTAGGCATCACAAGCTCACAGGTTCCTGAAAGGAAACTAGTAAGCAGGTAACAAAATGCCTTTGGAGGAGGCTGGCAAGTGATCTTATGAGTTGATTTTTGTTTAACTTTGTTGAGACTTTTAACTTAAATTCAAATCATAATGGAAGTATGCCTGTATGATGTGCAGTTCTGTTGTATTTCATTGCTTCCCACCACCAGCAGCTAAACATTCATTACTTAAAAATTGCTACTGTGACAGGAGAAAAAAACCTAACTTTGATACAGCTTTGACCAATTATAGATACATGGAGAAAGACTAAAGGACAAATTATATTTGATTTTTTTGTGATGTAGCAGTTCGTTCAGAGAATCTAGACCAGGTACCACTAAAGTTTGGTCGGAATGAGAAGGCACAATAAAGCCTGAGACTTTTTCAAGGCCTTAATTTGTCATGTTATAGTTCCCTTTCACTGAGAAAGGGGATCTTGCTGCTTCATGTTATCTTAAAAAAAAACCCAAAACCCTAACCTTTTAAGTGTCATCTTCTCATTTTTTCTGCATGCTGTAGTGACAGGTCCAGTCTCTGAACTGACTGTAAAAACAGAAAAAAAACACCCAACCCACCACAAAATGTCTCTCATTAAAGGAAAGAAGTTTGTTGACTCACAGGTAGCAGAGTGAGTACAAGATTTCCTTTTAATATTGTGCCATTGTTCTTTTCTGCTTTAGACCAAAAGGATTGACGTGAGGCTGAGGTTATCTGATACCTAGCTGTTAGTTTGTATCCAGGGTAAATAATAACACACAAACAGCATTTTAGCTCCGATTTCTGTTGCAGTGGTTTATCACAGCCTTTTGTTTTAGTGATGGTTTTCCTATGCTGTCCACTTTAGCCCGTGCGAAAACTCAGTGTGTAGAAACAGTAAGTTTTTAAACAGAAAGATCACAGCATAGTATCTAAATCATTGGTTTCAGAGGGAATAAGGCACTGGAGCCACTCTTAGTATACTGTGAGTGAAAACTAAACAAACAGAAAGCTTGCGCAGGTGATCGCTTAAGGATAAGGCTATATAATCGTATCCTAGAAATTGTACACATGTACTCTGGTCACATTGCACAGTTAAGGGGGTCTTGGGGGAAGTTACAAGCTGGGGTAAAATTATTTAGTATAATAGAAAGCTTTCAGCTTTACATAAATACAGCAGAAGAGCTATCCACTCGGGGACTGGAAACCTTTATATTTTGGTCCCATTTGTTATGTGGACTACTTGCCTCTCATCTGTAGTTCATTTAACTGGAAATCAGGCAATTTATGCATCCACAAGCAGAGGTTTACTGTCTGTGTCTAGGAGTAGGGTAAATCCTTAAACAGAAATCTGGTATTAGAAATCTGATTATTATAATCTAGTGTTACAATTTACAGAAGATCCCATTTCCATTTGTTAATATGCATCTTATGTTGGATCAGGTCCTCTGAACTGCTGAGAAATAGCTTCCTTTGACTGTAAGCACAGATTAATTTAAATGAGGTAAATTGTATTCAGGAAACTCCAGGTAAGAAATTTTAGTATTTGCTTCCTTGCTTTGCCTAAGCAATTTCAGGCTGACTCCATCTCAAGTGTCATAATTTGAATATGATCTTTTTCAAAGCTGTAGCGCTTCGCTGCTTCATAGAGCATCTTTTTTTCCTGAGGCAGCTGGTGATGGTGACCGTACTTCCCAGTTCAGCGTACAGAGTTGCCCTTTTAAGTTTCTGAGGAAAATTATTGCTTGGGATCTCAGATGTCCGAGTTCGAGTATTTGTCTTCTTGTATAACTGTTATATGGGACTAAATCAATTAGGGCTAAAATTTCATCACTGATGGTGTGTACTGTAATACTTTGCTGTATTACCTACAGTTTCCAGCTAAATAATACAATCAAAGTTAACCATCGTTAAATGGTGTCATATGAACAATAACTTCTGACACAAGATCTATGGTCGAACTGTGGCAGTGGTTGTTCATAGTTAATGCATCCGCTTAATTTGTAGCGGTAGCTCAGTGGCGTTGGTGATGAGAGTATTTTTTTCCTTGAGTTAAAATATGTGGAAGGAAAATGGGATGAAGGTTGACTTCTGATAAATTGTCCAGAATATAAAAGGCAATGCGGGCAGACTTGACACCAAGGTATAAAATATACATCTTAAAAATGGATGAATGGTAACACATGTTACAGAAATTAATTGTATGTGGTGTGATGACCACAAGAAAAGATGTTAAAGATGTTCTGCAAGGTTATATTTGGATATGATTGTCATGGTTTTTAGATGTCTAATTTGTAGTTTAACTTCTGTAACTCACTTTTAAATAGTCAGTAACACAGTCTACGAATCTGGAATCGTGTTACAGTGAATCCTGTGACAGGTCAGTCTGGATTGCAGCACACGATATTATCAAATTAGGCAACACAGTGAAATAATCAAGTTCTTTCAGCCATATGCTTCTTAATTTTGAAGTAATACGCACTTTATATATTTACAAACAGTAACCTTGAACTCAGTACACATGCTCTAAACTGATTGTTGCTACGGCACTGTTAATCAAAACAGTTTATAAAAAAAAAAACAAACCAAACCTTTTGTCATTTATGTACTGAAGTGGCCAATAAACAGCTTTGGGTAGATATACTCAGGAGAACACTACCTTTACCAATAAAGCCTTTTGTAAACATTACTTTCAAACAAAACCACACTTCTTTGAAGCATGTATTTGAGAAATACAACTTTCCTACTGTTGCTCACAAAGAGACAGTTACAGAGCCGGTGATTAACAGCAGTAATTACATTCAGGAGCACACAGACATACAAGCCCTGGGATCTATAAGCTGATACAGAGCCACCAAATACAGACATCCACATCACTGACACATGTTATGTGAAAGTTTTTACTAGCCAAGAGGTAAATACTATAACAAAGCTTTCAAGGAGATTTAGAGACCTTATTACAGCTAGCGAGATAAAAACATGATGTGTATGGTTAAACTTGTTTAAGAAACAAAGATGTATTCTAAGACTTTTTAGTTTGGCTTTTCCCAAACTGCTTTTCAGTTCTCTCTAAATGCGACATCACTCATTGTTCACATCCTAATGACTGTCTACACACAGAATTAACTACTCTTCCCCTGTCTGTCCATATTCTACCTTCTGCGTAGCTCTTATTCTAGATTCTATGGGCGTAACTACAACTGCATACGAGTCCTGTCTTATGGGCACTATAAGGACATTCAGATACTTCTGCTGCATGTAGCCCGGTGCCTAGCAAGGTACACTAGGATGAGCTGTGGCAAGTGTCCTTACAGCCAGATGGAAAAATGCCTCCTATCACTCTGGTAATCTGGCAAAGTCCCCACTTTCGCGGGCTGCACCACTCCCTGAAATGGTGCTTGTATACCCATTCCCCCCAGACAGCACCCTTTCTCCTCCTCTTCCTCCTGAAATGTATTTGTGAGCCCAATTTACACATTAGTGGTCGAGTGCGTGGTAGAGAAGTTCTCCATGCGTATTCTGGCCAGTTTCTCAGTGGGAACTGGCCGCAGCAAGCACTTACAGGTAAAGACTTGCCGGCAGGCCTTGCAGAAGTTTTCTGAGAGGAAAGCGTAAATGATGGGATTGATGCAGGAGTTCCCATAGGCTAAGCAGTGAGAGATGATGCAGAAGGTGAAGGAGGTGTTATTCAGGGGAAACTGCCCAAACTCTGCCCACATTGTGATGATGTGGTGTGGCAGCCAGGAGAGCAGGAACACGGCGACCACGAGCAGCACCGTCTGCACAGTTTGGAAAAGACAAGATCATATATTAAATGGTTGCAGTGATAAGTGAGTCTGTGGTATGAGTGGGTTTGCCTTCCTCTATAAGCAGTGACGACAGTGTGACATAGGCAACACTGACAACTGCCAGGTGGGCAGGTTATGATGGTACCGAAAAGGATGCTAAAAAATAACCCCCTTCCCTGGAAAACAAGGATTGCCTGGTTTTGGCTCAAGCAAATAGCTCTACAGGCAATGGAAGTAGTGCCCATAAACCCTCAAACAATATGGAGGCTGCAACAGTAATGCTACGTTACACGGAAGAGTGGAAATATCCCTAACATTTGGAGGCTGAGGAACATGAAGGCTATTGAAAATAACTGCAAGCGAAAATGGTCTGGCTGCAAGGAAACATGCCACTGAGAGGAGTAACAAAGACTGACCTGAGGAAAAAGATTTTTCTAGTAGCTTCCCTCTTATGGGAGAAACCAAGAAAAACAATGCATAGAGAATTTTTTTTTTTTTTTTTTGTAAAATATGCAGTGTTCTTTGGTTAGAAATATTGCTAGCTAGATGATTCGTTTAGGTTGGAGGACACCTTCAAGATTATCGAGTCCAACCATTAACCTAACTGTCAATTCCACCACTAAACCATGTCCCTAAGCTCTGCATCTGTAAGTCTTTTAAATACCTCCAGGGATGGTGCCTCAGCCACTTCCCTGGTCAGCCAGTTCCAATGCCTTACAACTCTTTCAGTGAAGAAATTTTTGCTAATCTCCAATCTAAACCTCCCCTGGCACAACTTGAGGCCATTTCCCCTTGTCCTATTGACTGTTACTTGGGAGAAGAGATCAACACCCACCTGGCTACAGCCTCCTTTCAGGCAGTTGTAGAGAGCAATAAGGTCTCTCCTGAGCCTGCTTTTCTCCAGATAAAACAACCCCAGTTCCCTCAGCCGCTCCTCAGAAGACTTGTGTTCTAGCCCCCTCACCAACCTCGCTGCCTTTCTCTGGACGCACTCCAGCACCTCAATGTCCTTCTTGTAGTGAGAGGCCCAAAACT